AATATAATGTTATCACATTTTAAAATTAAAGATTATTCTACTGTTATGAAAACTATCACAAAGTGAATGATTAATGTGCCAGAAAGATGATTCAATGGACTGGCATAGATACTGTTCATATAAGCACAAAGATTTATGATTGTGTCTAAGACCTTCATTAGGCGAGTCCTCAAGTGTTTGATCATCAGCTTGGGAAAGACTGATTCTAATTTAATCTTTTGTGCTGAATGTCTAGGTATTTTGGTTATTTTATACATCAGGAGTAATACTTCTTTACAATTAACTCAGTATTCCTAATTAGAAATAACTGTATTTCTGGAGGTGTGAAGTTCCAAACCTTTAAAGAGTTCCATTACAGGAATATGATATCATTAAGTGTGGTTAAACAGGCAGGTTTACTTCAGTGCTTGAACCTTTGAGTCATCTCTCTCCCATAATATTTATGAATAATAAACATTTTTGTTTATTCTAGGGAATTCTCATATATATATATAATATATATTTCAATGTTACACAGTATGCTTTTAAAAAAGCCAGCTGGTCATGGTGGCACACTCTTACAATCTCAGCACTTAAGAAGCAGAGGCAGGAGAATTGCCACAAGTTCAAGGCTAGCCTGGTCTACATAGTGAGTTAGGCCAGCTAGTGAGACTGTCTCAAACACTATGATAATTGCCTTCATCATCAACTTGACAAGACAGAGAATCACAATGCAAACACACTTCTGAATGTATTGATGAGAGTGATTCCGTAAAGGTTAACTGAGTTCTATGGGAAGACCCACCTTGAAGGTGGGCAGGCACTGTCCAGTCCCATGGGGGTGAGTCCGAGACTGAATATAAATAGGGAAGGGAGCTAAATACACCATTCACCTCTCTCTGCTTTGCTACTGCAAATAGAGTTGCCAGTTTCTTTATGCTCCTACAGCCTTGACTTCCCCACCGTGATGGACTGAACCCTCAAACTGCCAGAATAAACCCTTCTTTTGTTAACTTACCTTGGTCAGAAATTTTGTCATAGTAATGAGGAAAAAATTTAAAAGGAGGATGGTTTGGGGGGGGAATCAAACAAAGCAATGTAGAATAGCTCCATTCCCATCCTCAAATACATATATAATATATAAATACATACATAATATATAATATATAAATGTGACATGGGGTCATCTCATACATAAACATGACAACCCCAAACATTCTTGGGGTTTCTGCTTGTGTACACATGCACATATGCATCAATACATTCATTGAACACTCATTGCACATGTATACATGCATATACACATCAATATATTCATCGCACAGTCACTGGACATGTCTATATGCATGTATACATCAATACATTCATTGTACATTCTCTGAGCATGTATACATGCATACATGCATCGATATATTCATTGCACACTCACTGCATATGTATACAAGCACGTATGCAACAAATGTATTGCACACTCTTTGCTCCATCCTCTTTGCATCCTATCTCATCTTCTTTATCCTCCTTCTCAATGCCAGTGCTCCGCATAAGTACTTAACATATTGTCAAACTAATAAAGGCTTTCTCTGTTTCTATACTTTATTGAATTTTAGTCCTGGGTAGAAATTATTTTCTCTGTTCTTTCCTCATTTTGCCCACCAGGAAGATTCCATAAATTCATCCTGTACTTTGCTTCTGTTTATCTTCAGCAGCCAAAGTAGGAACTGTCCTGAAACAAACCCTCCACTATGTAAAAGACAACCATTCTGGGTGTTTTCTCCAGGGGAGAGCAAGTCATGTGTCCCCAGCTCTTGCTTCCTTGGAGATTGGCCCAAGGCCCAGAGAGGCATTTTGTACCAATTTGATTCCAAGGCTGAAACTTCTCTGGGATTTCCTTGGAAAGAAGTTTGTTAGCCCCTCTCTTTTCTTTCTGTTAAGGGTTGAGGTTTCCTCTGTAGTAGCTACCATTTCAGCAACTTCTGATTTCTGCCTGCTAGAATTTTCTTTAAAAATCTGATATGTTAACAGTTGAGTGTTATTTTCCCTTGTCTTAAATCATTTCAATGTGATCAGGAAGGCTGAAGTACTAAGGTACATAGGATCACTCAGTGTCCTAATTTTCCTCTGTCTAGTGTCTTTGCTGTTTCTGGCCCAGATCTTTGGAAACTGTTTTGGGGAAGAATTTGTAGTTCTTTTGGTTTATGTTGGAATTGGAATTTTTTTCTATTCCACTTTTGCATATAATATTAATCAGAATGAAATCAATAATATGTAATGTATAAAAGTTATATGTTTATAAATACCATTGATGTGAATTCACTCATTTTAATGTTTTTGTATGTATTTGTATTTTGCTAGCCAGGTGTCTTAAAATTTTCGCCTTGCATTTTCAATGTCCAGATCAACTGGAGATACAAAAAAAGTGATAGCTACTTTTCATGGGCACATGATACTCAGTTATTTCATTTCATTTTATTTATTGGTTTATTTGTTTTTTGGTATTTTGAGACAGAGTCTCGTATAGTCTAGGCTGGCTTTGAATTCACTGTGTAGCTGAGACTGACCTTGAATCCCTGATCCTCTTGCTTCCATTCCTGAGTGATGGGGTTACAGGTGTGCACTGTCAGCATCCACTACTTAGTTAGTATATCTTAAAATGATTTCTAGATTGCTATCCGAAATGAATGAATAGCTTAGCATTTAAAAAATTTTGTTTCAGGAAGGAGAAAATATTTTCTATCTGGCAGTTGAAGATATAGAAACAGATACAGAGCTCCTGATTGGCTACCTGGACAGTGACATGGAGGAAGAGGAAGAGCAGCAGGCTGTGACAGTGACCAAAGAAAGCAAAGTTGACCATTCTAAAGGACAGTCAGCAGCTGGCAGAAAAGGTACTGCATCTCCGTTTGGTGATCTGAGAGAAGAAACCTTGAGGAGGAAGGTAGTTTGAACTATTTGAATTATACTTGTGTTATAATTCATTATTGTTAAAAAGGGTTTTGCCAAAATTTTCATCATTATTTTCACCTTTTGAATGGCATGAAGGGGGTAGGTAAGAGATTTATGTGTCTTGTAGCATGGCCAAGGTAAAGGACAGGTTTTCTATGTCAAGGCAGCCCTGGTTCCTGTGGTCACTGTTGTCATAGGCATTGGACAGGTCACTCACTCTCAGAGAGTTTACTTTATCATATATACATGAGAAAAGATGTGTGTAGAGATCAGGTATGCAGAAGGGCCCTGCTGGACCCTGGAGAGTTGGTCCCTGGGCTTTGTTTTATGAGAGCCTTTGGGAATCCAGACCTCTGGGAATCTCTATTCTGGTCACAGGAGCTGGCAGCATTGCTAATTTTCAATAGATTGGCAAGCCAAAACGTCAGATGACTATAGATCAGACCTGTTTAATTCAGTTCTGCAATCCAGTAGATACTACTGGGTTGTTAACTGCTATGGAAAAATCTATTATTATTGGGCCTTGTGGTTTACTCCTGAAAGAATTTGAGGAAAATATGAATGATGTTATATTGTAGCAAGCTCTGTCTTTGCCTGTTTGGACTGAACCAAATAATTTGTAAAATCCATAAATTTGTTACTTACAGTTCTAGAGTCAGAAGTTCAGGGTTAGGTACCAACACATTTGATATCTGATATGTGACTCATTTATAAAAACAAAATATAACACAAGCCCCAAAACTCTTGTGAAAGAAATAAAGGGGCACCCAAATATTTAACAATGTCATTTATTGCATAAATGGTGGTACCTTCCTTAAGTTAAAAAAATGACTTAATACTGGAATTGGAGAAAAGAACAACATTTAAAATTTCATATAAAGTACAATAATAAATATACCTATTCCTAGACTCTTTAAAATAAGTACGCACAAAAGGTAAGTTAGGCTTTGAAATATATCACTTGCCTCTTCAGGATAGCATTATTGATTATTTTTATTTTTTCATATTTGATATTTTTAACTTCAATTCTAATGAATAATCACACAAAACGTTGTACTTTATGTGCTTAAATAGCATCCTGAAAGACTTGGGCAGAGCTCTGCCTGTTGTGTGGAGCAAGGGTGCCTCACACGCTGCACCACCATGGCCAGCACTGTTTCCATCATGGGCCTTGTTTCAAAAACGTGGGAGCTGTCCCTTAGTAATTCAAGACAGTTTCTCTCTGTTGGATTTTTCTTCTTGTAAAGCAGAAAGTGAACTAAAGGTGATCCATTTCAGGAAAAATTTTGTCTTTGCAATTCAATATTTGTTATAATTGTTTGATAACAATTGTTTGATGTTATAAGGTAAATTAGATATTGACTTTTTATTAATTTAGTGAAATAATACAGTGATTTAAAAAATAATACTCTATCAATATTTTGTTTTCTTAATGTGACAACACAATGTTTGTTAGAAATAATAATTTAGTATGTTAAACACAACTACTATGATTTTCAAAGCAGAGCAAAAAATCATTCCTGACTTATGAACTTCTGGCTTATAACTTTGCTTAGATCTCCTTGGCTGTAAAGAAGACTATGCCTGCCCACAGTGTGAATCCAGTTTTGCCAGTGAGGAGATTCTTGCAGAGCATCTCCGGACCTTGCACCAGAAGCCCACAGGGGAGAAAGAATTTAAATGCAAGAAGTGCGGGAAGAAGTTCCCAGTTAAGCAGGCTTTACAGAGACAGTGCGTATACTAAAGAATATCTTTCAAATTATAAAGGAACACTTTTTTTCCTTTGGCTCAGTACAGTTTTTAATGTGTGGGTATACATGTGTGTGTGTGCATGCACCTGTGTGTATGTTTGGGAGAGTGGAGAGGAGTCTACGTGGCCTTTAACTCATCTTTTCTGTGTGTAGTTTGCTGATTTTTGAATATCCTGATCATGAGGCTTACTGGTAAACATCATTTATGCTGATCCTTCTTTGTCTAATATTTGCCAATAAATATCAAGCTTCATGATTTACCAATCTGAAATTTACATATGTATAATTTAGGCAGTGCTTTAGGTTACAGATCAATTTTCACATATCTCCACTTAATATTTGCTCTGAAATCAGTTTAAAAAATGTTTATCTGGAGGCTTCAGAGTAGCAGCAATAAATGAACATTGGGGAAACACTGCTTAGATCAGTGCAATTTGGAGGAGTAATTTAAAGATGAATATGGATAGAGTATGACAGTACCATGAACTGCATGATCCCACATGGGGTCTGAACACTTTATTATTTTAACCATTTATATTAATGCATAAAATTATCCTCTATTTAAATATTTTATAGGATCACAATTATTAGACATAAGAGAGTATGTACAGATACTGAAAACTTTTACATGAGTGAAACATCTTTAATATAGGCTTAATGTTTGTATTTTGTTAAAACTCTCTAAAGTATGCAGTTTTATTAATAGCATTTACATATATTACATGTACCAGCTTTTGCTTATAAAATTTGGAGAGTAATGTCTAGTTAAATATAATAAATCTTTTTAAAAAATGAAACTTCTATGATGATAGATTAAACATTTAGAGATTTGGGTAACTTTTTATAAAAAAACAAGCAAAGGTTGTATACTTTTACTGAACTGACTTTAACCCGAATCAGCTTTTATATGTATTTTATTATACTGTATTACAAAAGATGTCCTAACTATACCATAGCTTATAGTGAAATACAATCTCATTAAAAGTTGTGAAAAGGCTGAGGACAGAGCGGAAAGACTGACTTGGTGAGCGCTGGCCTGCCTTGTGTGTTCTTGTTTTAGAGCTGCAGCTTTTGTTTCTCTCTTCTCCCCATCTCCTCTCAGTGTTCTTCAGTGCCCGGTGAGAAGCAGTCTGAAGGATTCGTCACCAAGTTCTCAGTGCTCTGTTTGCAATTCTTCCTTCAGTTCAGCATTGAGGTTTTGTGTCTGAGTTATAAGATGGCTTTTACATATTTGCAGGTCATTTTTTTGCATGAATAATTTCACACTTTGAAGTGAGTCACCATTACACTAATTAAATTAAGAATGTAAATGCTTTCTTTCTTACCTCCATAAGTAATGCATGAATGACCCTAAACTTCATGTAGGAAGCATGTACTAGGGGGCATGAATTACAAAAGCCTGCTGTGATGTTGAAGTCTGTAGGTATGTCTTCATCATTTTTTCTTTCTGTCCCCTTTGCTACTTGTCTTATAGTTTTGAGCAGCACCAGGAGGCTTGTCAAGGGGATGCCAGGTTTGTGTGCAAGGCCAACAGCTGTGGGAAGAGGCTGAAAAGCAAGGATGCTCTGAAAAGGCACCAGGAAAATGTCCACACTGGTGAGGAGGCATTGGACAGGCTTTACTAAAGGGGCATCCATCAGTTCTGAATTCTGTTTCATGTGGAGAGAGCTGGCTTTCCATTGTGTTTCACACAGATGCAGATGCTCTTTGTGTGTTTCACTGAATACTACTTTTCAAATCTGTTTCTTAGCATTTGTCCTTTTTTACCCATTTCTGAATTAATCATTACTGGAAACCAAGTTCAAATGTAGTTGTGCTTGGTATTCATGTGTGAAAACTGTATTATTTGATAGCTTCCAATTTTCAGAATATAAATTTTATCTTTCATAATATTGAAATTGATAATATATAGGTATACTTTGAAACAATGAAACTATGCACTTCTGCCTTAATATTTTTAAGGGCAAATTTAATGTTTTTAATGCTTGCATTTCTGTTATGCTAGAGAAAATTCCTGACTCTATTTTGGCATGAGTTGAACATATTTGAATAAATAGAGCACACACTTGTCCAATTCTTTGTAGTCTCTAGCCAAAATAAAACAAATATGAAATTTGATTGTCACTTAGGTTTTTGTGCCTGGTCCTTGCTAGCCATCAGTGAATACATTTGGGTTTGAGGTAGACACTGCTGCCTGAGCCCCCCTTTTACTTCCTGCTGTCTTTTAAGGAAGGTGAGGCTAATGGAAATCCACATGTCCCTCTATGCATATACTTTTCATATGTGTATACTTTTGCCCTTCGCTTCTGGGAAGTAGAAGAAATGTGTCTTTCGATAAGGAGGAAGGGGGATTTATTTTCTCTTCAATTATGTTCATAATTAGGCAAAGAGTAATGGGTCCCCAGCATCTGTACCCGATGCTATCTGAAAGAACTGACTTTTGTAATAGGGTGACAGAAGCTGGCACGAACTCGCCCTGTTTTGCCCACTGGCTGGGTTGTGCATTCTGAACAGTGAACAAAAGCTTTAGGAGGAGGAAGGTAAAATTTTGTGAACTGTACCTTCAGGGCGGTGTCAATCATTAGGACTTACAGCACTGTTTTCTGTCTTTCTTTTTGAAGAACATATGGCTGGTATATGGAAAATGGCCTTTCCCCCTGATTTAAAGTATACTGGTGCCTTTCATATGATTGCAAAAGGCAAGCATAACTTTTTGATAGATTTGCCTTCATAGGTTTAAAAAAATGATGTTCTGTTTAAAATGTTGTTTTTAATTTTCTTCATCTTTGTCTGCAGTGTATTGTAAGAAACTTTCATGTCAGTTTTAAGTCAGCTTTGCTGAACTAAGTAAAAAGCCAGATGGGTGCTGTGGCTCTGGAAACCTTTTCTTTCTCTTTGCTGGGCATATGGTCTTCCTGCTGTGCTTACAGTGGGATTTTGGAGGCTTCTTACAATTGGCCTTGGATTGCTTACTATTATGGATTCTGAACATTTTGGGTGATTTTGTAGGAAATAATTCATAAATGAACTTTTTGTTTCATTATTATTTTTCCCATGTTGCAGCTCATGATAAATCTGAAAGCTTGCTGTATTTTGGCTAATGTTCACAACGCACACCTTCATTTGGTACATGATTTCATTTTCTTCTTCACAGTCTTTCTTATGCCCTTCTCCTTTTCCTTAAAGTAGAGGTGACTGGGGAGAGAATATTCCCTATTAATCCTAGCGGAAAGCAGTGCTCACAGCTGTGGTTATAGAATTCTTTAGTATAGAAGGACAAAAGTATTCAAGGTGATACGAAAGCTTGCAACTTCTATTAGGATTGAGGACGACAATTTCCTTGTTAGATGATATGAACTGTAGATGGTTATGAGAAGAGCAGAATATGTAAATATGGGTTAATTTTTTTCCTAGAAATGATAGCATATGGTAGGTGGTTTTTAGACTAGTTCCAGGGCACATACTCAACCCACAGTTTGTTACGCTGTTTTCAGTCAGCGCTGTGACTTCCTTTTACTACCACCTACTACTATGACTTTATCCTAATTTTTCCTTCCCTCTGTCCCT